CGGCGCGAGAATGTTGGAGAAAATTCGCGGCGATCCGGCGCTCATCGACGAATCTCGCGGCTCGCATAAACTCAATGAAGTCCAAAATATTTGTCTGGCGGAATTGCCGGGGCGAACGGAGGATGGGCGAAGGGGCGGGGGGATGACGGCGGGAAAAGACAACAGCCCGCTTCCGGCATCCGAGCGGAATTCCGGGGTTTCCGAGGTTTTGTCGTAATATTCGGGTCACGGTGGATCCGAAGCGCGGAAAATACGTTGCTTCTTATCCAAGAATCCACGAAAACCGCGGCGGCGGCGGCGGCGTTGTTCTCAACTTCGTGCCGCATAAACGTTCCCCAGTCGTTCGCGATTCGTGTTTACGGTTCGCAAAAGGAATACCAAGGATAAGCAGGGTAATGCTTTCCCGCGTTGATGGCGCTTGTAAACGAGCCGTTCGCGTATTACCGCGCGATACCGTGTTCGACGCGTCCCCCCTGCCCTTTCTCCTTCATCCCCCCGCGCGAATTTTCCTATAGCTCCATTGACGCCGCTATTGTCCGCCGGCCGGATACCCTCGGAATTTCGGGGCTCTAATCTCTAACGGACTGCGCGGCGATCGAAAGTAAATTGTTTCGCGAGAGCCGGCAAGATTTCCAGAGCTTTGGTCAAATTGACGACGATTAAATCGTCGCGCGCGTTCGGCTGTTTGCTCGATTTTAGTGGCCGAAAAATCGTTCTTTTTATTTAACGTGTTCGAAATGTGTTTATTGACTTTTTACGTCTTTTAATGTCTTTTAGCGATGTTCGAAAGTAAAATTTGCACGTATCTTTGCATGATGTGGAGTGGAGAAGTATAATAAGTAAATAAATAATAGTAAGTAATAATATAAGTAATACTAACAAGTAATAATAATAAATAATAATATAAGTAATACTAATAAGCAATGATAATAAATAATAATAATAGATAGTAAGTAGTAATAATATAATAAGTAATAATAATAAATAATAAGTAGTAATAATATAATAAGTAATAATAATAAGCAATGAGTGGTAATAATATAACAAGTAAACGAGTATAATAATAGTAATAATAATAAATAATAAGTAGTAATAAAATATAATAAGTAATAATAATAAACAATGAGTAGTAATAATATAACAAGCAAACGAGTATAATATTTATCGAACAGCTGATATTCAGTTAATATTCGCCAGCGAACACTTCTCGAACCGGATTAATCGCGACGATATCAAAAAGTTTCGACAGAAAATTGTAACAAATAATAACTGTGTTCCTAAACGTAAATATATACACGCAATCCTATCTTGTTCTACTTGGCTGAGCAACCACCGATTCGTTCTACGACTTCGATCGTTCGGAATTTATACCGTGAACTTCACAAGGCAACGCACAATTTCATCTCTGCGTTGAACAATAATTTATTGTTGCCACACAGTTATTACCCTGTCGCGGCTTGTGAACCGACTTAAACAAAAATTTATTCTGTCATCGAATGGTCGGGGAGAAACGGTTACACCGCACGAAACGGGACATGAAAGTTCTGGAATGTTCCAAGCCGAAGCATAAAAACGTAAAAACCGTAAAACAAAAGTGGTTGGTGTTTTTTTTCCTTTTTTAATGTTTTAGTAACCTTGTTCGGATTATTGTAACTCGCGCAGTTCTGGATACGCGTGCAGATGACAGCGTAAATAAATTTTATCGCGTGTACGACTCGTGGAAATTGTGCTCCGCTGTTACAACTAACAGTTGTTTACATCGTTTCAATGAAACAAATATAACGGAATATAATAGAAATAAATATAAATATAGTACAAACAAGTTAAATGAAAATTACGCTTGATTTTGCGATTTTTAATAAACGATTTCTATACGACGCTTGATCGAATTATTTACAGTCGCGGATCAAGCATTGTTGCTTCGTAATTGTAACAATTAAACGCACTTTCGTCTGCTTTTGAAATTCTTCTCGAAACCTCGAGAAATTTGTTTAATCAAAAGAAAAGTAGAGAAAAAGAAAATAAAACGCTGGGCAACATTCGCGAATTAATTGCGCGAAACGAACGGTAAATTTTAATCGTGGAAATTTCAGAATCTGTTAACTAGAATTATTGAAGTGCGTCCGTAGTTCGGGATGATGAAGAAAGGGTATAAAAATTCTGCGTTGTACCGGGCGTCCTATAAAAACAGGTAATGGCCGCCGTAAAAACTTTCCTACCGAAGTATCCGCGTAACCTGCTTTTATTGTATTATAAAAAATGCTGCCGGCATGGAAGCTGCGAGATGATACGAAAACCGACGATTATAAAATTAATTTTATATTTAATTATTTCTCCGGCGAACTTTCCCCGAAAGTTCAGATCGATGAAACGCTGCTCGTTATGGAATCGCTATCATCGCGCAAAGAGGGAGAGATACTCCGCATTATTAATATTAATACAGTACTTATTTCCCGGTTATCAATTACCGATCAGTAATTACAAACGATTATTTACACACTTCTTTAAACATCGTAGAAACGCGTCCCTAATTACCGGCTGCTAATTTTCGATTACGCTTCTAAATTTCGATTGGAAACTTATTTTCATGGAAACACGAGATCGTTTGGAAATCGCGGAAGTCACGACTTCTGTACTTCGTACAGCAAATAATCGATCCTTATATATATACACACGGTGATACGATTTTAATTATCTCATCAATTCTTTCAAACGAATATATCCGACCGATTCTGTCCGCGTTTCTGCAACGCAAAGAGAAATAGAATCCGCGTTTCAGTCGTTCCGCGTCGCCGGTAACGATGAAATTGAGCCGTTTCTTTATTAACCGTCATAAATCCCGCCATCCCGGACAAGTAAATTCCGACAGGCGTCATAAATAAGGAGGGGCAAGAAGTCGCTAAGACCGAGAACATAATGGAAACAAAATGTCGTCGCGGAACGATGGACAGTATAATCCAAGAGATCATCAATTCTCGCAATTATCAAGCTTCCTCGCGTTCGTTGCGCGGACTGTGATGCCTGCGACCGTAATATTCGCGACCGACGAGCGACTTTCTTAACCCTTTGCCCTGTAGCCACGTCTGAGAGACGTGGTAAAAATGTCTGATCAGAAATGATTATCGCGTCTGCGAGACGTGGTCAAAAATCGGGCCACTAGTGCTTATCACGTCTGAGAGACGTGGTAAAACATCGGGGCACTAGTGCTTATCACGACTGAGAGACGTGGTAAAAATGTCTTACCAGAAATGATCATCGCGTCTGCGAGACGTGGTTAAAAATCGGGCCACTAGTGCTCATCACGTCTGAGAGACGTGGCCAGAAAATTGAGCTAGAAGTGCTTATCACGTCTGAGAGTCGTGGTAAAAAATTAGGTCACTAGTGCTTATCACGTCTGAGAGACGTGGCCAAAAAATTGAGCCAGAAGTGCTTATCACGTCTGAGAGTCGTGTTAAAAAAATCAAGCCAAAAATGACTATCACGTCTGAGAGTCGTGTTCGAAAAAACGAGCCAGAAGTGCTTATCACGTCCGAGGGACGTGGTAAAAGAATCGGGCCAGAAATGAGAGTCAAATATATCGAGGCAAATATAAACATAACCAGTTAGGCTCGTGCAATCGTGAAAGGGCTCGACCAATGAACGATCTTGTTGTTTGTGGTCCTTGGAACTTGGATCGCGGGGCAAAGGGTTAAACCGCAAAGTGATTCATCGAAGCCAAAGAAAAAGCAACTCGGTTATCCGAGACACAAAGGCTGCAGGATCGACGAAGACAACGGCGTTAAACCGGTCCCTATTAATTTCTCTGGTCCTTTCCTGGGCTGGTCGTTTGTCATTGTCAGACGATACTATTAACCTCGAGTGGCGCTGCGCGCCGTTTGATCGGGAAAATTATTGCGGCCGCATGCGAAATTGTCACGGTACAGGCAGCGTTCATGAAAGACTGCTTTCATCATGATAGCGACACAGCAGGTGCGTGGCCGGGCCTTCGAAGCCCGTAATTTCTAATCGATTCACCGACATCGAAATTCGACTTGTTCGCACGGAGGATTCGGAGAATCGCATAAAACATCGTCGAATTGCTCTTATTGGTTCCAATAAAAATTATCGACACGAGCACCATTTATTCACTGTAGATAGTTTTTTTTATATCGAAATTATGTCTTTTTATCGTGTCGCGAAAAATGTTGAAAAATTTAACGCTCGTATATCTTTTGGGGATTGAACAATTGTTCTGAAGGTTTTAACGTATTCTAGAGAATTTTGTTGAAGTATCGAGTATTGATGTAGCTTATATAATTATTAATTAATATAAACTTATATAATTATATAAACTACATTAATACTTATTAAATCAGTAAATTATGTTCGGATATATATTCGAATATAATTTACTAAATACAATGAAATATTTCTGGTTTTGCCTGCCAATATCCGGCGGCAGCTGTATTTAATTTGCACTTACATTATAAACATTGATTTTCTCGTTTACTTAATAATCGATCAACGACAGAGAAACGTCGAACAACATGACTGCGTGAAGAATCATTAGACAGCGAAATTTTGTGCTAAAAGAAATCGTAAAAATTTTCTTTGAATAACGAGATAGATCGAAAACAATGGCAACAATTCCTTTACCCCAGAATTCAACAATCAATATATAATAACAATTTAACAATTGTGAAATTTACAGACTCTTCGGTAGAAATGAAAAGTTTTCACAAGAGATAACAATATTCGGAAAGTTGCGAGAAATTACGACATTTTGGTCTTCGCTCCACCAAAATCAGCTCCTATCGAAATTATAAAACGGTTATTTATGGTACAGCAATTTCTCCCTGATTGTCCATCTGCTCCAAAAACGAAACTGGACAATTTGGGGAGAGGAGATACGATTATTCGAACCTCACGCCTTGTTTTTATGCTCATTGACAACAGGCAACTATAAAAACGAGGCGCAAGGCTCGAATAATCGTGTCTCCTTTCCCCAAATTGTCCAGTTTCGTGTGGTAGCTGAAAGACAATCAGGGAGAATTTGCTGTACCGTAAATAATCGTTCTATTATTTCGATAGAAGCAAGGCTCTCATAATCGTATCTCCTCTGCCCAAATAAATTAGAACCTGGTGGACAATTAAGTATAATTTGCAGTACCGTTAAAAAAGCCCTCAATTATTCCAAAAGAATTTGCAGTATCGTTAAAAAAACCTCAATTATTCCAAGAGAATTTGCAGTACAATTAAAAAAACCCTCAATTATTCCAAAAGAATTTTCGGTACCGTTAAAAAAACCCTCAATTATTCCAAGAGAATTTTCAGTACCATTAAAAAAACCCTCAATTATTCCAAAAGAATTTTCGGTACCGTTAAAAAAACCCTCAATTATTCCAAGAGAATTTTCAGTACCATTAAAAAAACCCTCAATTATTCCAAAAGAATTTTCGGTACCGTTAAAAAATCCCTCAATTATTCCAAGAGAATTTGTAGTACCATTAAAAAAACCCTCAAGTAATCCAAAAGAATTTGCAGTACCATTAAAAAACCCTAAATTATTCCAAAAGAATTTGCAGTATCGTTAAAAAAACCCTCAATCATTTCAAAAGAATTTGCAGTACTGTTAAAAAAACCCTCAATTATTCCAAAAGAATCTGATTTCATTGCAACGTAGTCTAAAATATCCTCAAATCTCCCTCAAACTCTCCGAACCTCGTCGCTCCTCAATTCTCCTCGAAACGGCTAAATAATCCCCCCGAGGACGAAACGCTGGAAGATCCGTGGAGAGCCGGTACCGTTTCAAGATACAGCGTACACCGAAGCGTTACCCAAAAACTGGCATGGAAAAGCTGGTCCGGGTCCTGCTTAACCGCGAATAACGACCCGCCGAGCCGCTTCGTGGTCCTCGCTGATCGTCGCGTCGTCGCAGAGCGCGCGTCTCGTGGATCGCACCGAGTCCAACTGTCTCATACTAAAACACCCATTTACAATGTCGCCGAGAATCTCTCTCCTCGTCCGATCTTGCCGCGCCGGAACGAAAGAGGACGCGCGATCTAGCATTGTCTGTGGAGGCTGCGTGGTCCGGGAGCCGCGCGAGCCTCGCACGGCGAACCGCGGCGAACTCGCTGTTCGGAACAAAACAGTGTCCGAGCCTTGGAGATCGATCTTGGTTCGATCGACACGCCGGGAACATCTACGGATACAAACAAGAAGCCGTGAACACTGATCGCTCTGTTAGACGCACTGCAGATTTGACTAATCCCGGGCGTCGCGGGCCGCTCGTCTAGGCAAGCGCGGTCCAGCGCGAGTCGGCGTCCTCTTTCCTTGGCTGAACACGACGGCAGATCCGATGGCAAATGTGTCCCGTGACCGGGCCACGGTGATCGGGGCACCGTTCGCGTCCATTTCGTCTGCCGTGGACACTGCTCCTAGCTGGAATCCTCGAGGTGTCCGCTTGGAGGACGAGTTTCGCGAGGATTCGCAGCGGTCGCTGGTTCGTGGTTTCCTCGACTGATCTGCCTGGTCTCTCTCTCTCTCTCACTCTCTCTCTCACTCTCTCTCACTCTCTCTCTCTCTCTCTCTCTCTCTCTCTCTCTCGGTTGATCAGGGAAAAGAAAGATCAAAGGTGATATATGATGTGGGGGGGATGGGGGAGCACAGGGTGCTTACTGTTGTTGATCGAGACGCTTCTTTCTTGCCTTCTTCCTCGCTGTCTTCCGCCGCCGTCGTCGTCGTCGTCGTCGTTGCTTCCGTTCCCGCCGTCCGTTCGGTCTCTCTTGCTCGATTAAATAAAGGGGATACGACCTTCGGTTCTTCGGTTCTTATTGGGAAGCTCCGTGATCGACCAGTCACCTCGCGAACGAGCCGGCGTGCAGAAGCAACAGGAGCAACGCGAGCGTCCTCGTCGCCGCGCCGCTGTTGCTCGAGTTCCCGTGCTGCATCGCCGCCGGATGCTCCCCTGAAACAAACAGCAGCCACGGAATTTGTTGTAATTGATCATTTTTTCGTGTAAATGGTATAAATCACGTTGGCATAAATTGGTATAAATTGTGTAAACGACAGTCTTCCAGGAATCTCGTTGCCAGTGGTGGCAACTGTCTCAGTTTCCGTGTCCATTAATTGCATATAAACAATTAAAACAATGTGCATTTTGGTTGTATTATTCTATCTCAATGAAAATCCAAATGTATGTTCTAGTGATATAAATTGGAAAAGCGAGGCTTAAATATATATATAACACGCTTTTTTTCCGCTTTTTGTATGGAAATCGTCCATTGTGCGTCGTCCACGGCTAAGAGGCTAGAAACGTTGCTTTTTCTACAATTTTTCTTGCAATTATATTGTCACCACGTGTGAATAATTAATTAGCAGCGGTCACACAGATCAGTAGTTGAGGGTTAATAATCATATTACACTAATTTCTCTCGGAAATGCCGAATTTCGGGTTGCTGTGAATTTCGCTGTGCTAGTCGCACGCCTGTGTAATTTATTGCTACGTCGATGCTGAGATTCGCGACGCGAATTCCCAGAAGACAACATAAAACGGTCTCTTTGGATGCGAGTCGAGTAGGAAAAATCGCGGAGCTGCAAGTCACGTGGCTGATCTTCGTCGAATCGCGTCACGTGGCCTCCGAATTGCCTTCGAATTGCCTTCGAATCGACTCACGTGGCCTCCGAATTGTCTCCTAATTGTCTCCGAACTGTCTTCGAATAGTCGACTCGTGGCCTTCGAATTGCCTTCGAATCGCGTCACATGGCCTCCGAATTACCTTCGATTCGCGTCACGTGGCCTCCGAATTGCCTCCAAATCATGGCGAAAAATTAGAAATAACAAAATTAAGCCATCCCTTTCATCCTAGCATCGCTATGTACTCATATTAGTTTCCAAAAACCGAGAAGAACCTTGAGTCCCGAAGAATCGCGACTTAGTATTCCCGGATTCGTCGGTTTCGATTCCGACCCGCGAACATTTACTGTCCGAAATTACTCTACTTGCGCATCGATCCATCGAGCCGTGTCTTCCGTGTTTGCACAGCCACGAGGAACGAACGAGAAAGAGACAGGACCCGTGTAAAAATAGGAGAAACGTGAACGAAATGCGTGCGACGACAAATCCGAATAAAGTTCGCGTCGGCGCGACGCGGCGGAACACGTTGGGAATAGCGCGGGGGGCGCGCGGACAGTTGTGTGTTCAAATTTCATCGCGCAAACGAAATTTTCTTTGGAAAATACGCAGCCGCATAACTTTCAATCGAGAACCCCTCCGCCCCCCCCTGCGTCCCGGAAATTCGATTTTGCTTAACAGGAGCTCGCCGTTCAATTCCCGGCGTGTCGCGCCCGGTGAATAGCGACGCGCTCTTCCCGAACTATCTCGACCAAAAAGTTTCGAGACGAGGCGCGGCGCGAAGCGGAACGCGCGAGCCGGTCTCTCAAATTGATAATGTGCACGTGCGCCGCGAGGTATACACCCGCGTCGCCGTTGCACCCCTCTATATATTTGTCATTCCCGTACAATTCGGCCGGCTTATCCCCCCCGGTAGCCGATTTTCTCCGCATTCTGCGCCCTCCTGGCGTATTTAACGGGCAAGAATGCACGCGCGACAGAAATGCCGCGGCGCGTTTCCGCGTCCTGGGCGCCCTGGGCGCTCCGTGCATCAACCATGGGAGTCCCAGGCAAACGCGGGGAACGGTTGCAGAACGGATCCACGAAGAGCCGATCGGCTTTGGATCGCTGTTTGGGAACCTTTTACACGCACCGTCGTCACGTAAGATAAAATTCGCTGCCATAAAACACCGGTTATACGATAAAACGTGGACAGAGCGATGCGAAAGTGGATGCAAAAATTCTATCCGATACTTGGGAAGACTGTTCTTTTTGCGTTCGCTCGCGTAAATACCGTTGTGCGATAATCAGCTGTTAGAAAAATGTTTATTCGAATGCGGGGGTGTTTCCAAGGGGGAACACAGTGTTCCATATTATGGACATTGGTGTTTTCATTGTACCGATTTATGAAATACGGCGACGCGGTACGAAAACGGTGTTCCTAATTAGGTACACGCTCGTATAGATATATATATTTATATAATATATGTATATACAATAAGCGATGATACCTCTGAGTATTTTAACAGTGAATTAGTTTATCGATGAATCAATATTCTTTTAACCCATTTTTCTTTTGAATCGTACAGTGCTCGCAGTTTCTATTAATCGCGTTAATTGTGACATGAATTTTGGACGACTGTCATTAGCATATTTCATCCATATTTCGGCTAAACGATGTCACCGTGAATAATTAGTTACACGCAATGTATTATTACACGGGGAATTTTACAATTGAAAGTGAATTATGTTTTGTGTAAATAGAAAAATAGTAATATATATATTACTATTGTTAGTATTTATAGTTTATATATATATATATATTACTATTATTACTACTATTATTACTCTATATTACTATTTTTTTATATTACTATATATATATATGAAAATATATACAAACTGGAATGGTAGAGATAAAATGACCAAAATCTATTAAAAATCCGATAGCAGTAATTGAAAAAAGTCTTCAAGTGTTTTAATAATTATTTTCATAATTATGCTACTTTAATCATTTCTCCCCCCGGCAAACGTACAAAATCCGTCGAGCAACCGAAACGAATCAGCTTCGAGATTTCGGTCGGTTAATTGAAAAAATCTGCCTGCCGCCGCTGAATCGAGTAATTAACGACAGGGTCGATATGTTAACGAGGGCACGGGAAATTGTTTGGCGAACAGTATCGGTCGAGCGGAGGGTGCCGGATCGAATGCGCGAAATAATCTCGAAAGCCGTTGAGCAAGCCGAGACACGGTTCGGGGGAGGGATAGTCGAGGAGAAAATTCGGCTAACACGAATTTCCTTTTCCCGGGGGCAATGGATTTCCTTCGTGAACACCTCCGCGATTTTCGTGGATGCACTTATTTTTTTTTCTTCTTCTTCTACTTCTTCTTCTTCTTTCCCCCTTACCCGACGAATTCTGCAGCAGCTCTCGCCCCTAATTTACGGCGTGTAATTCGACAAACGATCCTGCGGCGCAAGAAGCACTCATTTTTCAGTGAGAACGACCGCCGGCGTTCCGGGGAGAAAAAGTAGCCATCCGCGGCTACGAAATGGCGACGAGTCGCTCCCCGTCGCGAATATATTGGCAACAAGGCCCCTAGCACTTTTTCCGCGCGGCGCTCGCCTGAATCCATTTGAATGTCATTTATCGCCAATAATTTATGTTTCCCGATGGAAGCTGCTGCTGCTGCTGCTTCGTTTTTTTTTACGATCCTCTCGCGATGCTTTATTCGAGTTGTTCAAGTCGATCTCGAATTTATACACTCTGTTGCGACCGCGGTTTTTATTGTCTCGCTTTTTGTCCGGCCGATTTGCGGTCGACGAAGGGGTCTGCCGTTCGACGCGCGGCAAGCTTTCATACGAATGTGGAGAAATTATGCATGCGACGAGATTTTTTCCCGTTCTGTAGGGAGAACGAGCGAATGCGATTAGTTTGTACTAGGGTTATTTTAGAAAGATTTATTTACAATTTTTATTGTGCACTTGTATAAACAGATTCGTTCGAAAAGCTCTGATCAACATTCAGAAGCTGAGAACAGTTTCTACAGGGGAGAAATAAGTCGAAAGAAAAGGGTGGGATTTTTTATCAATGGCCTATTCGATAGTATTATTTTTCAACTGATTTATTTTCTCGAAAACGAAGCCTTAAATGGAAAAATGTTATCCTTTTTCTCGATATTTTGAGCGATATTCATACAGGGTGCCTCATAATTATGTTGATACTCGGAACGGGGTGATTCCTGAGGTAATTTGAAGTAACTTTTTCCTTAGCAAAAATGTTCTACGAGGCTTCGTTCACGAGTTATTAACGAAAAACACTGGGCCAATCAGAGATGAGCTCTGCCGGCGCCGGGCAGTCGAGAGTCAGCGAGTGATCGAAGCCCTATTACGCTGATTGGCTCGGCCGCCTAGCGCTGGACGAGCTCGCCTCTCATTGGTCACTGTTTTTCGTTAATAACTCGTAAACGAAGCCTCGTAGAACATTTTTGTAAAGGAAAAAGTTGCTTCGAATGACTTCAGGAATCACCCCTTTCCGGCTGTTAACACAATCGTGGGACACCCTGTATACATACATATATACATACATTCGTACACATGTGTACAGATTGCTCGGCTTTTTCTTGCTCGCCCGAGATTCGTCGCTCTTTTTTCTAGTCGAAGTTCTTTGTTGCTGCTGCTGCTGAAGTATTATTTTTGGTTTTTCCTTTGCCCGAAACGCGGCGCACCATTCGGGGGAACGTAAATCGTGATTCGCGAACGGAGAGTTTCCCAGATGTCGGCGAATTTGGTATTCAGAGGGACATTCTTATGGTTGAAGAAAGTTTCAGTCTTTCCAGTCGGAAATTTATAACACGGTTACGTATCAAAACTTTTGATATTTACGCCCGGAGTTAAGATATATCAGCTGTGCTTTTAATCGAATTTAAACATTTTATTATGCGAAATATCATGAAATCTCTTCCAAACAATTTATAAGAGATACGATGCATTTTTGTTCGTTGCATACAAATTCGTTGCTTCCTGAAATATTTCTGATATATATCGAAGGAGCGATATCAATTTTTCAATTTTAATTCGATTACTTTCTCTCTTCGAGCAATTTCTTTCGTTTATCCCGTAGAATATTATAATATTGGACATAATTTAATTTAATACGTTTAATATAATATAATATTTAATATAAGATATTAAATATAATGTATTCAGTATAATATATTTAACATAATATATTCGACACAATATAATATATTCAATATATTATACTTAATATATTTAGTATAATATATTCGACACAATATAATATATTCAATATATTATATTTAATGTATTTAGTATAATATATTTAACAGAATAT